TGGATCATCAGATGCCAGAGTATGTGTAGCCCATCATTTAAAATGGGTTTGCTCTCTTGAGGGAGGCATATATTTACTGAAACATTCAGCTGCAGCTTTGGAACAAGTCAACAGCTTTAATGCCACTCTACTTGGGAACCTGGGAGAAATAACTATACAAATCTCTCCAYGGSACTGCCCTACTGGGATGYACYGGTGTGGTTACACTTACATACAGARTAATGTTTGAAGGTTCRCATGCAATACATGTCAGACCTTATAACTTATCAACACAGAAGCAGAGAAGTGACAGGTACAGCACAACTGCTTCGTGAGAGCCTCTTGGGCTGSAAATCAGCTCCTCTGTTGCCTCAGCTTCCCCTTATGGGGGCTGCATTTTATATKCTTTCAACGCCAAATGGAAGCAATAAGGTAGGATGGACATATGATTGCTTCCAGGAGAAAGTCTCAGATGGAGCTGTTCTGAACTTTCCCCTTCCTCTTTAGATCACATTTCCCTTAAGAAAAAAAAAATCCTAATGGGTGCTTTTATGTTTCTGGTRAGAAGGAATTGGAGGCACTTAACCCATTGCAACCCATTAAAAACTGATAAAACCAATAAGCAGTTGCACGATAAGCCTTTTCACAGCATGATGAGTTTCCTTTGAAATAGTAAATAGAGTACCCTTTTAATATTTGTATTTACAAGATTAATTGGATTCTGTCTGAATTSACTGCTGCAGTCAAAATAGGCTGGTGGAGGGATGAAAATGCTTTGGTTTTATATTGACAGGGCTGTTCTGAATTGCATTCAGTGTTCTGTCTCRGCTTTATCTGCTTTTCCTGACCTACAACTCACAACTAACAGTGCTAGACMTCATTTTTTCATTGTCTTGAAAAAAAGTCTCCGGGCCAGCTGCATTTGCTAAACTCCTCTGCTTGCAAGGATTCCCTCTACTACATGGTGCAGTCATCCTATAATTCTAGCTAGATGCCCTTTTTAATTCCAATTTCTGTGTTGCATAAAATTCACTGGAATTGACAGGGCTCTGAAAGTCAGAAAACTTAATTCAAGAAATGCCCTAAACCATGAATGTTATATCATGTTCCTGTTTGGTTTTTTCAGGTTTTGCATTTGCAGGTGTATCTGCGAACATGAGGGAAAGAAATTATTCAAAACCTAAGGATTTTACTTATTCATATAGAAGCAAGAGCTTTAAAAGGAACGTCAGACTGTAGTAAAACTGAGAACARTAGAGGTTAAATCTGCCAATGAAGAAAAAGAAAGCCAGAAACATCCATTTGAAACTTTGTTTTTTCATTAAATTGAATTCTTTACATTTCTAATTTGGAATGTTAATAAATTTCACAGAAACATTTCTGGAAAAAATAAACTTATGGCCTCTTAGAATTTGGTCTGTGTGCTGGAAAAACAATAGATTGAGACCCAGCTGTGTTAAACACCAACTGGCTTTGCCATGTTCCTCAGCAAGATGCTGTGCTGGGAGGCTGAAATGTGTGAGCAAGAATTGGAACGTCCAGAATTCTGTGCAAAACTTCAGCTGCTTTGATYTCATAAAACATCCATAGCATTGCCCAACTCTCACTCTCAAATTAAATCCCATTAAGGCAGAATTGCTTTTTATCTAGAGATCAGAGCCTACCTTTGCTGTTGCTTCATAGATAGGAAAGGTAGATGAAGAGTTAAATACTTGAAGGTAGCATAAACTGTAAATTTCAACCATATTAATTAATAATCAGTTATGGTTATAACATCAGCTTAGAGTATTTTAAGGAATAGTCACCCTCTCCCATTCTGTACTGCCATTTYAATAAATAAACTGGCATCATCTGTTCTGTGCTCTGATCCCAAAAGCACAAATGTATGTGGTATGATTCAGTAACTGAAAGAATTCTCTATTTTTTTTTCCAAATTGTTCTATATTTGAGACTCATCTAGGATTGATTAATATTAAACAGTGAAGCTAAGAAAAACCCATCCCTGTGTTTAACCTATGTGTATTTTTAACATACATGATATGAGTGGTGCTGTCTTTGGGGAGCACATCCTCCTAATGCAGGGAAGTGAATCCCTCTGTCAGAAAGTAGCTGGTGTCTCCCTAAATGTTGCTCAATTGCTGTTTACACAGCTGCAATGTAATTAAAATGTTTGTTTACCTATAAAAGAGGTGAAAGCTAAACATTGATGTTTGTATACATGCATTGTATTACATCAAAAAAGTTAGGTGGCCTTTACAAATGATTTCCCAAACACTGTTAAAACTATTTAAAACAACTTTTTAACTATATTAAGTGGCTTTTGGAAGAGGTGTTAAAAATATCTCATCATGAGATATCTGTAAATCTCTTCCTTGCACAGAAATAGACAGACATGAGTAAGACACGCCAGCCTTGAGTAAGTACATGACATGGATTTAATTGCCATGCTGCTCCCTGTGTTTCTGCCATGCAGGTACATGGATTGTCATTATGTGTGAACTGGAATACAAGGAAGTTTATGGGGCATCCCTGTGCCTGTCTGCTGAAGGCCCAGAAACCACCACCACACAGCTTGTTGCACTGAATTAAGTCACAAAACATTCTATGAAATAAAAAAAAGTGTAGTCTTCCGAGCAAGATAAATTACTCTTAGGAGCCATCTGCCTTTACCCTTTACAAAAAAAAAGCCTCTTTAAATGTTAATTTAACTTTACCAGAGATAGTATTGCCATGGTAACAAATGCAAGAAAAATAAATGTCTCTTAGAGGAAAACCACTTTTTATTTTGTATAAACATATTCCATATGAAATAAAATATGCAGCTATGGAATTATTGTATACACAATCTCAGACAGTAAAAAATGTCTTTTTATCAGTCTTTTCCTGGAATGGTTCTCTGAGCTAGTACCAAACACAATTGCTTGCAGAAAAGAAATGTATACTTAATTTCATATGCTATGAACTAGAGCTCTCAGCTTGCAGTTTGCTCTAGATGGACTGGAATGCTACAAACTTCAGCAGAGCGTCAGGCAGGCAGCAGGAGTTTACAGAACTGGAGTCTAAAATGTAATCTCTGCCAGGTAATTTATATTGCAAATGCTTTGCTGTGTGCATTTGCTGTGCGTAGTCTACCACTGGAGAGGTTTGTTATTCAAACAGCATAGAAGCAGTGGTTCAGATTTCTCTTTTCATTGAATGAAAGGAGGAATGCATTCAGGTTAGGCCTGTTTCAAAAATAAGATTGATGAGTGGTGTACTTTAAATTGCTCACAAACAAATTCCTCTCTACCTCTTCCTGCATCAGTAACCCCCTACAAAGGTCAATTTGAGGAGACACCCAAGATGGGCAATATCATTATTTGCAAGACCAGAATTTCTTCATGGTTAAAAATCATTTCTTTTTACATTGTATACTTTCTCATTTCAGGCTTCAAATTTCACAGTATACAACTATAACCACAGTTTTCAAACACTGTCATGGTTGAAATGTTCCACAGTTTATTTATCCTCTTTCTTTCGGCCTTTTGAGTGTGTGCTTTGTGTTGGAAGGCTGCAGGGAAGTYAAGATGCCTGTGTCTGGGTTTTACTGGTGAGAGGAGGTGAGGAATTCTGGTGCTTGCCTGTGGAGCAGAAACCATCCTGCATTCACCTGCATCAGAGTAAGACAGTAGCTTACAAAGATTAAGCTTTTCTTCTTGCTGTATGGCAGGCAGGGAAACTGCCTATTATCCCCACTTACAGATATGTTAAAGAACTAATTTCTTCTAGAGATTGTGATGCTGAATTTGGCATATCATTTACTCTAAGAGTCAGCATAAATGGTGCTGAAACTGTTATCTGCTCTTTTCCTACCTTAGCTGATGAGTGGCATGTTCAGTAGCATCAACATCTTGGATATTGCTCTGTTGCACTTCTTGAAGTCAGAAGAGTAAAATTAAATGTTTTCAGGGATGACTTAGGCAGAATGTCATACAACCTAGTCTGAGAAATGATGAAGCAGCCAGTTTCAGCAAAATACTGTCCTTTCATGGGTGCAAACAGTTCTACAGGAAGTGTAAAACTGGTGTGTGGAGATTGATTGCAATGGATTAATTAAGGTATCAGGGAGCTGGAGCTATTATCTTCAGCATATCTCAACCTGCCAGACCACGAGCTTGGCAAGAGCACCTGGACTAGGTTACATTGCGGATGGGGTTGCTTGTTGTCCCTCCTTGGGCAGCAACTGGAAACAAAATGTGTAGAGAAAGAAACAAAAGTAACAAGGCATATWGGCACTAATCATTCCACGTGTATCTTCTCGGTTATCTGCGGTTTTGGACTAACTGCATGGAGGAGCCTGTGTGGCCCACCTAAGGATGAAAACCTTAATCAGCCTTTGTGTCAGTGCTTGTCAGCAAGTCGGGAGGACAGGCACCTTCTCGTAGTGAATCAGAGGGGTGCAGGAAGCGGGCCGGCCCCACGCTCTGCTCAGCAGGGAGGGCTCCAGCCGGTGTCCCCGGGTGACGCASAGCACCCTTATCTAACCCCGCCAGCCTCGAATAGTTCAGCACGCTCCGGGGCAGCCGGCCAACCTGAGGGGACTTCAATGTGTGACACGGATGTTTTGGCTTTCCAAACATCCTACAGCATTACGGGGAAGCACGGGACAAAGACCAAGGCAATGGTGAGCATCCCACCCGCCCCTTCTCGCTAGARTTGGTCACTGTGTTTCAAATGGAGGAGGTGAGACGGGGAGAAAAGTTTCTTACTGCAATCTTAACGACTTCGACCTGTTCGTCTCTCAACCGAGCGCTGTGCAAAAGCTGTCTCCGTGCGGGGGTCTAAGACCGCCGCCACCGGTGAAGAGGCAGGAGGAGGCGCCTTGCCCCGGCCTGCCCGATCGCCCTCACGCACACCGAGGGGCCCGCGCGCCGCCTCAGCCCCCTTCCCCCGCCGGGCCCCGCGAGCCCCGCCCCGCCCACACCGCCTCACGGCGCCTCACGGCGCAGGCGCGCAGCCCCGAGCCAATGGGGCGGGCGGGGCGGGGCAGGGCCGCGGCCATTGCGGCCCCGCCGGCTGAGGGGAAGCGCTGCTCCTGCCGCCGCGATGGTGTCCTGGATGATTTCCCGAGCGGTCGTGTGAGTACCGAGCTGTGACTGCGAGACGCGGCTTATTTCTCAGGACGGGGTGATCCCAGTGAGCGGCAGGAGGGAGGCGGCGTCCCATTTTTCCTTCCACCAGTCTCCTGAGCCGGGTGCCTTGCACTCCCCTTGGGGGTGTCTGTGTGCCTCACAAAACCAAATTGTATTCCTTGTACTCCCAAAAACTCCAGCAGAAGCCGCGCCGGCCTCGTGCTTACTCTGTGTGTCTCSTAAGTGCATGTTTCCTAGGGCTACGGAGCCAGCCAACTCGAGCTGCTTGTGCCTGTCACGCACGTTTTGCAACCTATGCTTGTAAAGTGATCCAAACTAACCTATAAAACCTGGTAACTCTTCCTTTKTAGCTTGTAACAGAGTTGAAAGGATTAGAGGCACGCTTGCGAGTGTGAGATGGGGGTCTGTGCTGAGTATAAGTTGTCAGCTGATGGAAAGGTAGACTGGCAGTGTTGTTGTGTACCGGGCTTCATAAAGTTGRGTTTTTGAAAGCCAGAGAAGCAAACCTTCTTAGGTGAGAAGTGTCTTGTTACATGTTGCGTAAGTTCTGTTTGACAAAGAGTAAACTGCAGTGCAGCCTCTGGTCTTTTTCATGGGCATTGTACTGTGCCTTCCTGAAACTGATGGGTTATTATGCTTATTTGAATAATATTCCCTCCTAAAGGTTAAGTAATATTTAGGCAACAGTGTTCCTCATGCTCCTCGCTGAGTAGTGCTGTGATTCTGGAGCACCCAGTACTTACTGGATYGCTTGAGCTGAGATTTGCTGTGTGTGAGTTTTTTGCCAGGCAAATGAAGTGAATCTGCTCACAAAGCAGTCCAACAAACACCCGAATTAGCATAAAGTATGTAGCAGGAGTGTGTGACCCAAAACAGGGCATAATAGGATTTCCCTGTTCTGTTGGTGACAGATATCCCCCTTAAGCTGTCTGGTGTAAGTTCATCTGAAAACTTGTCGGGAAGCTTTCTCATACTGCCATTTTCCTGGTGCAGTCCAGTCACCTAGATAAGTAGCAGTCCTCCCTCTCGCTGCCCTCCCTGAGACTTGTCACATAATTGCAACTTCTAAAGTAGAACATCATGTTCCAGAATTGGCAAAGGAGGACAGAGGTTTGGAAGAGAGGCTGAGGGAAGAATTGCTGTTGGTGCACTTTGTCAGCATGGTCTTCCCATGGGCAGTACATGGCGCTGGAGGTAAAAGGCACTTTGCTTACTTTCTGTACATYAGCTGGAGCTGCTGAACCTATTTCTGCTTCATTTCCTTAATTTCTGATGAGGATGAAGTCCTCTATGAGCCTAACCCAATAGCACAGGGAATGAAGAGRGTAGCTACTGCTCTCCACAGATTTATCGGAAAAGGCAATAAAGGATAATGTACTGTGCAGTTCTGTGTAGTTATGTTTCCTGGTTGCCACTGGTCACTCATTTGTGTGCCCTAATTATCTTTGCTAAAAAGGGAGTCTTAAATATTATTTCTMGATAATCCTTTCCACCTTCTTGTGYCCTTGTTTCCTAGCTGTGGGACTTMAGTAGTTTGCCAGTGTTCAACTTCCCAGGAAGGTGAAAGTGTTCAGTGAGAACTTGGACAGTTTTGAGACTATTGTTTAACTTTGCTAATAAAGCAAAATCCATGTGGAAACGAAAGATGAAAAGTAGCACGGAAGTAGATATGGTATGAAATGAGAGGTCTTAATTTCAATGGTCTTGAGAATGTCCTTCTTGTCCTGTTTTCTCAGTATCCATTATCTTCCTTTTTTGATCTGTTTCCCTTCCTGGTCTCTTTCCAGATGTACCTATTTCCGTGACTTGGTGTCTCTGAATTCTGTGTTCCGAGTTTGGAAGGCGTGTGCTGTCTTTCCCTTAGATGCCCTAAGAAACACAGAAATACTTTGAAACACTTTGTAGCTGTGCAGATCTGAGGTTCTGTCTTATGTAACATTTTGATTCTGGTGTGGTGATTTCGCGGTGCATTTATCCATAGCAGGTTCCTGCAGCCCTGTTGTGTATGAGCAGCCATCAGGAATACCAGTCATCTTGACTCGTGATGGAAAGCAGCAGCAGTTTTTCTGTCTGTGGCAGAGTTCTCCACTCCTGACTGACCTTCTATGTTTCAGCGCCAAAAGAGCAGCAAAATATTAATTTGTAGGTGTGTCGTAGTGCCCTCTGCTGACTTCTGACATGGGGAACTTGTCCTGACACGTGTGTCCCAAGCAAACTGCTTTCTGATTCAGTTTGAGACTTTGCAATTTGGGATTCATTAACTGCATAAAATGGCTTGGTTAAAGCTTGAAGGAACTAGGTAATGGAGCTAGTATAGAATTTGAATTGTTAATTGCATGTGAATTGTCTTGAGGAGTCATGCACACAAGAAGGGGGAGTGGTTCAAATTCACTGTTCCACGTAATAACCTTSAGCAAAACTTCGTTTTAATGATATCTTTCCCCTTCACTCTATAAACGCTGTTATTCGTAGGCATCTAAACTTGTGACATACCTTGTATTAATTATATGTCTTTTGTATGTCAAGAAGCAGAAAATTTGAAGTGCATAGTTAAAACATCTTTTAATTTTCAAATTCTGTGTTAATTAGATGCTGTTGTAGTAGGTATGGCTCATTATTATTTCTAAAGCACACCTGCTATTGCAGCAGTTTTTGGAATGTTTACTGCATGGTTTTTCCTTTTCTTCACTTACAAAACCAACAAGATAGGATTCCATTCAGAGTCTTAGAAAGCTTCTCAGCATGGTGCATCTTGTCAAATTCTTAGTCTTTAATGGTGGAAATAATTTTTTACATTTGTGAATGCACGTGTTGTTAACTTAGAGCTTGTGCCTGAATTCCAGTCTGCTTGGATTGCTCATTCTTCTCGTTTGTAAGGTCTGAGCAATTGTGTACACATCAGTTACTGAGGCAGTATTTAATAGTAAACACGCTGGGTACTTGTCAGTCACAGCCTGGTATGGATGAGATCAGACCATCCTCTTGTGCCAAGCAAAGATGTGAAGCATCCTAAATACAAAGTAGATGGCCATTTTGTTCTTGCAATCTGTTAAAGCAGACTGTCTGCTGTAATCTGTTAACTTTTTTCCCTCCTCACTTTAAAATGAAAGTTCCCCCATCTGTGTTGCTTTGCAACATGCTCTCTCCCCTCGTGTTTAAGTACATGGTTTGTTTCCAGTGAAGTTGGTCAGCGTCCATGAATGTTGGCAGGGAGAGTTAATGCTCCCCAGGAGGATGTATTTGTCTCGGGTACTAGTAGTTAGCTTTCTGTTTGCTTGAATTTATAATGTTTGTCTTCCCCACCCTCATTTTAGAGCCTCGCAAATATTCCTTGATTCTGATAGTAGATTATAACTAAATAAGTTAAGCTGGATGAAGACTGAGGGACACAGGAGGTGACCTGAAGGCAGGTATCAGTATTAGTGTCTTTCAGCCTTTGCTGCATTACAGGCTGGAGCTGTTTCTCGAATGATCATTATCTTACTCTGCTTTTAATACTTCTGCTGTTGTTTGACATTTCCAGATGTCTAGCTGCCCCTAGAATTACTGCATATCTGAGAATGGGTGGCTGGAGCCGTAGGTTCTGTGTGGATTGGATTGCTGTCAGGAACACCTGGCTTACCATGTAGGCAATGTTTTATGTKCCTGAGTATGCTTTGACTGTAATCCTGCAGTCAAAGGTGCCTTGCTCTTGGAATACAATTTTTTGATTTAAAAGCATAAAGTACAAAAATATTTACCCTCTTGTTAGGTAATCAACATGCTGTCAAGCACAATTGTCTTGAAGCAATCACAGCTCATCAGATGTAATGGAGTAACAATACCCCATCGGGTGTTGTGAGGAAGGAATAGCTATAGCTGAATAGCCTAATCTTCAGAAGGGCTGTTAGAGTCGCTTTGACCATAGCCTGCTGTCTGGCAGAATTGTTCCAGCTGAAGTATGAAGGATGTTGACTGCTGTTGGATGCTGAATTTCTTCCGGTATCCTTCCAGTTTAAAGGCCTATAAATTGCTGCCCCACCTGTGGGGAAAAAGGAGCTGCTATSATCATGTGAGTGAGATGTGCTGCAATGTCTGTCTCATCACAGAACTGGAATGAATTAGTGACYATCAGTTRTCCTTGGCATTTYATGCTATGCTTAAATAGATCTTAATCTCCTTTTGCTGGGAGGGACCATCCTGCCCTTCACTCTCTCCTCATTCACTTTCCACAGGATCCAGACTTTACTCTGTGACCACTGTATAAGTCTGGTTGTTTTGTCAACCAGAGTGAAAATTAATGTTGATAGAAGTTAATCTTTTGTTAGCTGCAATGAACTGCACCAGCTCTCACAGCTGTTGTGTAGTTGCTAGGTAAGTGCTGTGTTGAGAATGAAAGATTGCTGGACAAAACCAGCAATTTTTTGGCTTTAGCATATGACCAGACTGGTTAAAGTGTACTCTGAAACCACATTCTTCATTGCATATTGCTGCTTATTCTTTCTTGTTGTGATTGTAGTTCCAGTAATAACAGTGCAGCTGTTCTGATCAAAGTGTCAGCTTTTTAAAGTGTCTTCAGTTTTATGGGTTGAAATCTGTAAGCATATGTAAGTCTAGGAATGAAGYGTATTGTCCTGTCTGTGTGAAAGTTTAAAATAATTTACATTATTGAGCAATGAAATCATCAGAGCACKTCTCTCCAAGTTCAGCTTCTCAGTGAGGAAATCCTAATATGTGCAATGAGAAGTTTCTGCTCACTTATGTGTGACTTGTAACAYGTCTTGAGTTAGTACAATGCAAAATGACTATCTTTGACAAGTTGTAAGCAAGAACTGTCCCTACTGCCTGCTTGGCACACCTTGCTTTAAATCAACATTTGCTCTGCAGCCTAGCTGCTCTTTTCTCTCCCATGTTTACAGGATGGTGTAGGTGCAGGGCATGCGTGGTCAGTGTGCCCAGCCTATGGCAGCCGGGTGGACTGAAGCTTGCTCAAAACAGATGGAGCA